TTGTAATGCTGGTAGTTTTTTTTAGTTGAATGACCTACGACGTTGTTGCTTCAATTCACGCGACACATTGTTCTGTTGCTATGAGTCTGATACCGTTACAATAATTTCTGACAAGAGAACATAGAAAACATTTAATTAAAACAAAGGCTATTAATTATCATGCATATTATGCATGATGATTAATATTTCTATAATATAGAATTATTAAAATATCACTCACATTTAAAAAATTTTCACTATTATAAGTGACATAAAATTTATAAATAACAATTAAACAACAAGAGAAGGACACAAAATCAACAAATTTTCTAAGTTTCGTTTTAATGAAAATTTTCAGATTTAGAAAATAATTTATGTTTGACTATACAAATTAGAGGTCGCATGACTAAACACAACGCTTGTTCTAAAGCAAAGCTGTAATTCGCGTAACGCATTCATGAACACAATTGGTTATCTGATCTTTGAGTCCTACTTTTACATTAGCGCTGTAGATTTCTGAATGAATTTACTAAAAGTATTTTTGCTTGCATTTTATTGCACCATTTTAACTTTAACTAAATAATTACTTTTATTTAGTCAAAGTATTCGATATTTTTAGGAAAAAATAATTTGTTTAATATATATATACATTTTTTTTTAATCAAGTGTTAAGTAATTTACACTTATTTGTTTTCGTACAGATGATAAAATTATTTTAATTTTATTTTTAAGTATATTCATATAAGATAATGGTTGATTCATCAACACGTTTGGTTGGGTGTGGCTACCATAAAAAAACGTTCCGTACACTGTTTTAATATTTTTTACGAACAAACACAACATGGTCAAACGTTGAAATAACTTCATACTTTTTAAATATATCGAACTAACATATTTTGTTTTTATTATATTTAATTGAATTTAAATGTTAGTATCAATAAATGTTTTTTTTTTTAATTAAATCAGTATTTCGGAAGATATTGAAATCACTAAAAAATAAAGCTTTAACTGGTGGTGAAGAGTGGGTGCTGCTACTATTTTTATATCTAAACATTTCCTGACCGTACTCTTCCTCTCACCAAGATATGGTTATCGATCAGTAATTTTCTAATTAGATCATTATCTATTAGATAAGCTAGTTAATTAGGAGTATTTCTTATGTGAAATCAACGTTGACGCCCTTAAAAGGTATAAGGGATAACGATAAAAAAATTTATGATTGAAAAATTGAGAAAAATATTAAACAAAAAAGAAACAAATTAAAAAATGATTAATATTATTTTTATTTTTCAATTAAGTGGTTCACGATAAGTGGTATCACTCTGTATACTGAAAAATGTCATAATAATAATAATTATCTAATTGAGTGGTGGTCAGCAGTTTATAATAGTTAGGAGTATAATTTCTGATGTGTTATTACTTTGTGTATCTTTTGTGCTTGAAATTAGTACAATAGTGACTAGGTAGTCTATCATATTTTTGGAGTCCTCGCGTTATTATCATTTTTACGTCTCGGAATTCTTATAATGTGTACAATGTAATTACTTTAAGATATCTTACTGTTCATTACTATAGAAGTGATAAAATCTGAATACCAAAAATAACAAAATATGAAAAAAATATATATGTAGAATAACCGACAATGACGGTAAGGAAACAAGATATTATTAATCTGAATTCTTAGACACAGTAAAATTGAAGCAATACAATATTTTTTCAAACAAGGACGAGTTTTCGTATATTTCCAATCAGTATAACAATCAATCATAATAATGAATATTATTTATAAACTAAAATTAAAATATTCTTTATAACAAAGAACATAAATAAACGTTCACTTTATTGGTAATTTTTAGTGATAGGCAACAAAATAATTTTACACATCGATTTTTTTTAATTTTGGTGATATTGATATCGTTTTTTTAATGATATCGTTACTTAAAAAATACGATTTTTTTAATATTAAAATTGGGAAAAAATTTTTATTCAATTCCAAGGTACCTAACTATTAATTATTTTCTTAACATGTAGTGAATGCACTAATAAATATTTTATAGAAAATAACTAATCCGTTTCTTTTAATTAATTATTTATACATATAAATTCATTTACGAGAATAGTATCTTGCCATAGCGATATAAATTTTAAAAAATCACAAAAAAATTATTTTGAATTATAATTATTTTTATATTAAGGTATATCAGGCCATTAAATTTCGATATCGAATTGATATGTCGATATTTATGCTCAACGATAATTATTTTATGAATAAATATTTAATGAATACTAATGTAATATCTATTCTATTTAAAATTTATAGTCTGCATAAATGTTGTAGAATCAAAATGGACTTCTGTGTGTATATATCTATATATTTATGTGTGTGTGTGTAATACAATTATAGACAAGAAATCCATTAGTACTCTTCATATTTATTTATAGTAAATTATAAAATATTTACATATTACATGGTGGTGTATACATCATACACCTAAATTTTGCCATAATTATAGTTTTTATTAGATAAAACTCATACTTTTATAAATTACTTTAATATCCATAAAAATAAAAAATTCCATAAATTAATGACTTCTATTAATACAATAAAATTGATAAAAGTATAAAATTTGTTACATAATTTCTATATTCTTTCTAAATTAAAAGTTGTATAAATGATACTATAGTTTGGTTAAACAAATTTAATAGTATTTTTTGCTATCTCTTAAACAGAATGAGTATACTCTATATATTCTTCGTGTATGTAGTCATGTACTGTTTTAAAATTAATCTATTCCAATTTAGAGCCGACCCACAGCTGTTGTCAGTCTGTGTCTCTATGAAACGCTATACAGCGCCTACGTTAGGCATTTTTGACTGCCTCTGCCGCATTTTTTATGATATTTATTTTGAATAAACATTATTTCCCCTACTTTCTATGAAACATTTGTGTAATTGGTACATAAATAACGTAGTTTTTACATGATATATATTTTGTTTTCAACATGATAATAATAACCAACTTTTTCAACCATTTATATGATGCTTAAGGCAATCGTTTGTAGTTTAATTCATTTATGTTTTCAGCAAATAGTTTAATGATTTTAAGTCGTTATTAAATTTAAAGTTAATAACACCAAAGGTCACCGCGTATATTTCATCATTGTTTTCCCCGACGTATAATTATCATCTCATACTTCAATTTGACATCCTCTAGGTACCACGGCATACCTTCATTATGACGTAGCTTATTATCGTTTTCAGTGGTGATTTTCAATATTTTTCTGGAAGTACTAAATAATAAAAATTACTTGAAATATTTATCAGATCTTACTTTACATATTATACAGCATATAAATTGTCGATATATGCAAAGTGTCTAGGCCCGTTGTAATTTCACCGATGATCGTTTTCATTTAAATTTTTTTCATTAAAGATTATTCAAATGTTATCCATCCTGTTTGCTGACTTACTTATCGCATTGTCAATTATTTTCAACCATGTTAGGTATATTAACCGCGGTTTTATTATTTACTTACAATTTCATGTCAATACTATTTTATTTATAAACGTTTAGTTATTAATTAAACCAACATTAATTTTTCCGCTTGTTATAAAAAAATAATTTTCCTATTTCAATCAATGGAAAAAATTATCGATTAATTCTTTCCTATATTCAATTAAGTATAATCAACATTTTTTTAATTATTTTAAAAAGTGAGTCATCAGAACGTTCTTTGATTGTCAAGGTGAAAATTCATTTTCTGTTAGGTGTCGGATTTTATTAAATATTATATACATACTAAACACATTCGTTCAACGTCGTAAACGAGGTCTTATGTAAGCTGGCGCATATTTCGTTTTAAAAATATTCTTAACATCATGAAAAGTGGTCGCCGAGTTCTATTTTTGTTGCCCCCGTACCCGTGCCCACAGCAAACTCGGAAATCATTTTACTATTATAATCCTGCAGCCACCAACTGTTTTTACACATTGAAATATTCAATGTAATATTTTCTAATAATTAGAAGATATCATAATTATTATAATATATAAACACGTATATGCCAATAAGTTTAGTATTTACACTAATGTCTTTCTTTTAAATAAATGATATAAAACATTTGTGAAATTAAATTGAATTTATAAAACTCAGTATTTTTATAAATTAAACTATGAGTTAATATTTGGTTAGTTTATTAGGGCTAGGAATTTTTTGAATTTATGAATTTTATTAAGTTATTCTGAACATATCATCAGCCCGTACAGATTTTTTTAATTGATTTGAAAATTTAGTTATGTGTTGTTACCGTGGTTATATGAAGTTTTTGGGTGATTAGGAGGTTTATCTCCCTCCTAAAATAAAAACATTTTTCTACGCTACTTTATAATTCCGAGCCCCATTTATTATGTACTGATTAATTTTCTATATTATACTTGACATAACAAATGTTGAGTCTTTTTTATATTAATTTAATGACATATTTATTAAATAAATCTCAATTACTAATAATATTTCAAAATTTTATGTTAGAAAATGGTATTTAATTATTTGATAAATTTACATCAATTTTTCAGGAAATTACAATTTATTAATAATAATATTAGTATTATTTGTATACTTTATTGAGCTATAAATGCAACTAATTTTTTAGAAGGGATGTATTGAATAAAATCGTGTGCATAACATGTTATGTAATTATACAGAGTGTTCAGTAGGTAAAAGAACATCAATTGTTATTAACAGTGAGAACAATAGAAACCCGTTTCCTTACTTACTGAACACTAATGATATGAGGTCTATTTAGTAACTTTAAAAAGCCTTGTTTAATTAGAACGTAAATAACTGTTATGAAATTCAATGATTCATTATTAACGTACCTGTTAATATAATATTAGATGGTGATATTTATATTTACCTAAAATATATCGTTTTTAAAAAATGTGTTTATTAATAGTTTTAAATGAGAATTATAATTTTTCAATAAATTCTTATTTCGTGTTTAATTTTTTTAATTTTGTAGGTGTAAACAAATAGTGATATAGAGGTGTCTGGCCACTATGACGACAGACATCTCTGTAGTCCGGTGGGACCCGGCTATACAGCAAGACGGTACAGGAATAGTTGAAGACTATGAATATGATGGTGGTAACTCATCTTCCAGATTATTCGAAAGATCAAGGATCAAAGCCTTAGCCGGTAAATTTTTACTTACTAAAGTTATGCTCCAAAAATAAACGTATATATTGAATAAATGGAACCTAAGTTAGTGAATTTTTGGAAAAAAATAAAGCTACTAAAATATTGTTGGTAATGTAGGCTAGCGTACGGGGATGAACACATTAGTGTTATATACCGTGAATGGGGTTGTAGTCGACCCTTCGGCAATAATTACAGTCATAGTGGTGGTGAGCCCCCACGTTTATTATTCATGTTACGCCATTTTTAATGATATAAACTTTAGGGGTTCTGTTATGTGCATTTTAAGAAATAGTTTATTTTTTTCTAACTTCTAGTTTTGAAATTATTTCAGACGAAAGAGAAAGTGTACAGAAAAAAACCTTTCAAAAATGGATAAACTCACACTTAGTTCGAGTGAACTCCCGAATTGGAGATTTGTATATAGACCTCAGAGATGGCAAAATGCTCATAAAACTATTGGAAGTACTTTCTGGAGAGCGATTGGTAAGTGATACTGCACAAAATTTTGGTATTAAGGATATCTATGACTTTAATTAAATTTTTTTATTGCTTTAGCCAAAACCTACCAAAGGGAAAATGCGAATACATTGTTTAGAAAATGTCGACAAAGCCCTACAGTTTTTAAAAGACCAAAGAGTGCACTTGGAAAATATGGGATCACATGATATTGTTGATGGAAATCCTAGATTGTCATTAGGTCTCATATGGACCATTATTTTAAGATTTCAAGTAAGATACCCTCTAAAAATGTATAATAAATATAGTAAAATGGATTTATTTAAATAGATTCAAGATATTACTATTGAAGAAACGGATAATAAAGAGACAAAATCTGCCAAAGATGCATTACTATTATGGTGTCAAATGAAAACTGCTGGCTACCATAATGTGAATGTACGTAACTTTACAACATCATGGCGTGATGGTTTGGCTTTCAATGCTATTATCCATAAACATCGTCCTGATTTAGTACAATTTGAAAAACTGAGCAAAACAAATGCTATGAATAATTTGACTAATGCATTCAACACAGCTGAAGACAAGCTAGGCATTGTAAAACTTTTAGATCCTGAAGATGTTTTTGTTGAACAACCTGATGAAAAATCTATAATTACTTATGTAGTTACATATTACCATTACTTCAGCAAAATGAAACAAGAAACTGTTCAAGGCAAGAGGATTGGACGTGTTGTTGGAATCGCTATGGAAAATGAACGCACTGCACAAGAGTATGAAAGACTCACTAGTGACTTATTGCAATGGATTAAGCAAACTAAAGAATCATTAGCTGAACGAAAATTTATCAACTCATTAAATGGAGTTCAGCAACAACTACAACAATTTAACAATTATAGAACTGTGGAAAAGCCACCTAAGTTTGTTGAAAAAGGAAATTTGGAAGTGTTGTTGTTTACTTTACAATCAAAAATGCGAGCTAATAATCAGAAGCCATACACACCCAAAGAAGGTAAAATGATATCAGATATTAACAAAGCTTGGGAGCAATTGGAAAAAGCAGAACATGAAAGGGAATTAGCTTTAAGGGAAGAAATCATTAGACAAGAAAAATTAGAACAACTTGCTCAGAGATTTAACAGAAAGGCTAGCATGAGAGAAACTTGGTTAAGTGAAAATCAACGTTTGGTTTCACAGGTAAAAGTAATAATAAATAATATTCTATTTTGTAACTTTTGATCAAATAACAATAAAATGCATTTTATTTTAAAACTATATTTAAAATATTATAGGACAATTTTGGATTGGACTTGGCAGCAGTTGAAGCTGCAGCAAAGAAACATGAAGCTATTGAAACTGATATATTTGCTTACGAAGAACGTGTTGAAGCTGTTGTTACAGTTGCCCAAGAATTAGAAACTGAAGATTATCATGATATTGTTCGTATAAATGCTAGGTAATAACATTTTACTATTTTTGGCATAATTTTTTTACAATTAAAATTAATTTACTCTAATTAATTTTGTATTAATTATATTATCAGGAAAGATAATGTTCTTCGTCTTTGGAATTATCTTTTGGAGCTTTTAAAAGCACGCCGACATCGTCTTGAACTGTCTCTACAGCTTCAACAAAACTTCCAAGAAATGCTCTACATATTAGATTCAATGGAAGAACTTAAAATGAGATTGTTATCTGATGATTATGGTAAACACTTAATGGGTGTTGAAGATCTCTTACAAAAGCACAGTCTTGTTGAGGCTGATATCAATGTTTTGGGTGAACGAGTAAAGAGTGTTGTACAACATTCTCAACGATTTTTGGATGAAGATAATATAGAAGGCTACAGACCATGTGATCCTGCTGTTATTGTTGAAAGAGTTCAAGAACTCGAAGATGCTTACTCAGAGTTAGTTAAATTAGCAGTTGAAAGAAGGGCACGCCTTGAAGAAAGCCGAAAACTTTGGCAATTCTATTGGGATATGGCTGATGAGGAAAACTGGATTAAAGAAAAAGAACAAATTGTATCAGCTGGAGATATTGGTCATGATTTAACTACAATAAACTTGTTGCTTTCTAAACATAAAGTAAACTTTCTAATTATGCACTATTTTATCTTAAAAAATTAATTTTTTTTTATAAAGGCACTAGAAAATGAAATTCAAAGTCATGAGGGTCAATTACTGGACGTAGTAAAAGTTGGTGAAGATTTAATTAACAGTAATCATTTTGGTGCTGACCGTATACAAGAACGTGTATCTACCACACATTTAATGTGGGATCACTTAATTACACTGGCTAAACAACGACGTAAGCGTTTAGAAGATGCTGTTGATTACCATCAAGTAATTTTATAACTATTTTATCAGCAATTAATTTTTAAGTAACTATATATCAATTATTTTTGTATTTATTTTATTAAATAAATAGTGGTTTGCGGATGCTGATGATGTTGATATTTGGATGCTTGATACTTTGAGACTTGTTTCATCAGAAGATGTTGGTCGTGATGAAGCTAATGTACAATCATTACTGAAGAAACACAAAGAAGTAACTATTGAGTTATTATTTACAAATAAGGTAACTTTCAAAACAAAAATTATGTGTATATATTTGTTTTAGGTTAGTGAAGAGTTAAAATCATATTCTCAAACTGTGGAAGCACTTCGCTCACAAGCTAATCAATTAAATACTGAACCTGGTGCTCCAACAAGTGGACCTGAAGTTAATGAACGCATGTCATCTATTGATAAACGTTACAAAGAATTAGTTGAATTAGCTAAACTAAGACACCAAAGATTACTTGATGCTCTTTCATTGTATAAATTATTTAGTGAAGCTGATGCTGTACAACAATGGATTGGGGAAAAGGTGATATATTTAAAATCAAATTGTTATTTGAAATAATATAAAATTTACTAATGTGATAATTTATTTTTAATATTATCTCAATATAAATGTTTAATTATTATTTTTTTTAATTCTAGAACCGTATGTTAGAAACAATGAGCCCCGGGAAAGACATTGAAGATGTTGAAATAATGAAACATCGTTATGATGGTTTTGACAAAGAAATGAATTCAAATGCATCTCGTGTAGCTGTTGTTAACCAATTAGCTAGACAACTGCTTCATGTTGAACATCCAAATTCTGATGAAATTGAGAAAAGACAATATAATGTGAATAAAATAAACATTTCAGTACTATATAATTATTTTATATATATATACTATTAATAAATTTTTGTTTTTAGTTGAATCATGAATGGGGTGATTTGAGAGATAAAGCAGAAGCTAAACGTGATCAACTTAATTCTGCACATGGTTTACAAACTTTCCACATTGAATGTAGAGAAACTATATCTTGGATTGAAGATAAAAAGAGAATTTTACAATCCACTGACAGTCTAGAAATGGATCTTACTGGCATTATGACATTACAAGTAATTTATATAAACTTTGTTAAATTTTTATATTTTTTATTTTATCAGATTACCAGCTATTTAGATAATAATGCAACTTGCAAGTTTCTTTGTATAGCATTTTGCTATATTAAGCTCCTTAGTTTGCAATCATTTTTAATGAAGATTAATTTTATACTACATGTACTATTTATGAATAAAAAATTTTAAATACTTTGAATTTTTTTTTTAGCGTCGTTTATCTGGTATGGAACGTGATTTAGCTGCTATTCAAGCTAAATTAGATGCTCTGGAGTCTGAAGCTCGTGCTAATGAAAAAGAACATCCTGAAGAATCTGCTGCTATTCGTGAAAGAATAGAAACCATCCAAAAAGATTGGGAAGAATTAACACAAATGGTAGGAAATTTTTTTTTTTAATAGAGATTTAAGTTGATTAATTTATTGCAAATTTTAGTTGAAAGAAAGAGATTCAAAATTAGAAGAAGCTGGTGATATTCATCGCTTTTTAAGAGATTTAGACCACTTCCAAGTCTGGTTAACTAAAACTCAAACTGATGTGGCTTCTGAAGATATTCCATCTTCATTATCTGAAGCTGAGAAACTATTATCTCAACATCAAGCTATCCGTGAAGAAATTGATAACTATACAGCAGATTACATTCAAATGATGGATTATGGTGAAAAAGTGACAGCTGTGAGTATTTAGATAATTTTTATTACTTCTGTATATTTTTTTCCTTGCTTTAACCTTTACTTGGGGTCAACCAATCTATCTAATTTTTGTTCAGGAATCCTCGTACTTTTTGACAAAATTTTATGTCAGTTGTTGACCTGACTCAACCTTATTACACCTCTTACAACTGGCACAGGGGCCATAAAAATATTCTTATCCCCTGTCTATAGGGACCCTTTTATTACTTTTGTATTATTAATTTTATTATAAATTAGGAACCTGGTTCTCAAGATGATCCTCAGTACATGTTCCTGAGAGAACGTCTTAAGGCTTTACGTGATGGGTGGCAAGAATTACATAAAATGTGGGAAAATCGCCAACAACTATTATCTAAATCACTTAACTTACAAATGTTTAATCGCGATGCTCGTCAAGCTGAAGTTTTACTTTCTCAACAAGAACATGTGTTATCTAAGGATGAAGTTCCTGTAAGTTAATGGTTTTCTTAAAATAGTATTATTACCTAAAATATTTACTCTATGTTTCAGTCAAATCTAGAACATGCTGAAAATCTTATTAAACGTCATGAAGCTTTCTTAACGACAATGGAAGCTAATGATGATAAAATTAATGGAGTTACACAGTTTGCTTCAAAACTTGTTGAAGAAGATCATTATGATGCTGATAAAGTTAAGAAGAAAGCTGATAATATAGAAGAACGTCGTGATGCCAACCGAAAGAAAGCTCAAGAACTTATGGACCAATTGAAAGACCAACTTCAACTTCATCAATTTCTTCAAGATTCTGATGAACTTCAACAATGGATTCAAGAGAAAAAATTCACTGCTCAAGATGAAACATATAGAAGTGCTAAAACTGTTCATAGCAAGTGGACACGTCATCAAGCATTTGAGGCAGAAATTGCATCAAATAAAAATAGATTAGATAGAGTACAACAGTCTGGAGAAGAGCTAATGAAAGAAAAACCAGAACTAGCTTCCATAATTGAACCAAAAATATCTGAGATGTTGAGCCAGTTTGAAGATTTAGAAAAAACAACAACAGAAAAAGGTGAACGACTTTTTGATGCTAATAGAGAAGTCCTTATACATCAAACTTGTGAAGACATTGATTCATGGATGGATGATCTTGAAAAACAAATAGAAGCAGCAGATACAGGAAATGATTTAGCTTCTGTTAATATACTTATGCAAAAACAACAAATGATTGAGACTCAAATGGCTGTAAAAGCTAAACAAGTTGGTGAATTAGAAACTCAAGCTGAATATTTAAAGAAAACTGTTCCTGAAAAAGTTGAACTGATTATTCCAAAGAAAGTTAAAGTAGAAGAAAGATTTGAACAACTGAAAGAACCGTTGAAATTAAGACAAAGACAACTTGAGAAAAAGAAAGAAGCTTATCAGTTTAGAAGAGATGTTGAAGATGAAAAATTATGGATTGCTGAAAAAACACCATTAGCCACATCTACAGAATATGGAAACAGTTTGTTCAATGTCAATATGTTACAAAAGAAAAATCAAGTAATAATTTATAAATATAATTTAAATTTTATTTATTTTTTATTTAATTTTTAATTTTAGTCTCTATGTAATGAAATTGATAATCATGAACCTCGCATCAAACTTGTTTGCAACAATGGCCAGAAATTGATTGATGAAGGACATGAGGATGCTTCACAGTTTACTGATCTTATTCATGACTTAACACAACGTTGGCAACAGCTCCAACAAGATGTTGAACATCGCAGACAAATGTTACTACAATCTGAAAAAGCCCAACAAGTGTGTAGAAAATTTATTAATCATTGCAATAATATAACAATGATAAAAATTATTACAGAGCAGATATTACTTTCTTTAATATCTTATATGTACTGAAAATATTAAACTGATAACCAATAATTAAATATTTTAATAAATAATATTTTTTAAAACACGCCACTTGTTGGCACAATAATCAAACAGAACTTTTAAAATACATCATCAAATGTGTTACTTTTAATTTTTACAGCATATTATGTATATTTTTTCAAACAATTTACAACATCCTATACTAATAGGTAATGCTTCAAATTAAAGAAACTCATAATAATTCATCTGAAAACTATTGCATAAAAACACATATGAAAAAAACCCAGCACAATGGGGACGTGACATAGTTGTGTCAAGCCCAACGCTTCGTTGCAAATCTGTAGATAGTGTTTAATTTTCAAAATTTGGTGGATTAGTCCAAAAGCTACATGATCTCCTATTTCCATATTTAAATCCTGATTACAAATTTTATGATTTATAAGTGTAATATATATATTTATAATATATAAATATATAATGGGAAATGGTTTATTTAAAAAAAAATTATGTCAAATGAAAGAGATACTTCAATTTTTGAGGGTAATATCTTTGACTAGATACGATTTGTGATCTTTTGACATATCGTTGAAAGAAATCGGTTGGTGAGAGCTGAGAAAAAATGGTAACAGACACAAAAAAATAAAAATAAAACATCATACATTCTTAGGTTCGCATCGAATTTAAAATGGCCTAGTCCTAAAAATTATGGAAAATAAATTGAAATTTTAACTGTTATTTAGATTTTTTTTAATTACTTAAATATGGTGCATTAATTTTTAGTACTTCTTCGATGCCAGCGAAGCAGAAAGTTGGATGGGTGAACAAGAACTATACATGATGGTAGAAGATCGTGGAAAAGATGAAATATCTGCACAAAATCTAAAGAAAAAACATGAATCTTTAGAATTGGCTGTAGATAACTATGCTGATACTATTAGACAATTAGGAGAAACTGCACGTCAATTGACTAGTGAAATGCATCCTGAGAGTGATCAAATAGCAGTTAAGCAATCCCAAGTAGATAAACTCTATGCTGGTTTAAAAGATCTAGCTGGAGAACGTAAAGCTAAATTAGATGAAGCTTTGAAATTATTCATGTTGCATCGTGAAGTTGATGATTTAGAGCAATGGATTGCCGAAAGAGAAATTGTCGCTGGCTCTCATGAACTTGGCCAAGATTATGATCATGTCACTGTAAGTTGAATAACAATTAAAACCTAAAATTTCAATAAGACCATCTAATTTTAATTTTTTATAACTCGAAAATGAATTTTAAAATTTATTATAAAACCTTTTCAGCTATTTATCAAAGCTTAAAAGGATTTATAATGAGACAAATTTTAGTATCAGCATTGTTTCTATACAAATATAGTACATAATATTTTTTATCAGATTATGTTATGAAAAAATTGCTGTTAATGTTTTTAATGATTTATATTAATCCAATTTTTTTTTTGTACTATCATTAAAATTTTGTTTATGGTTTTTTTTTTAAAAAAAGATTAAAGTTTAATCTTTATAAAATTAATAAAAATGTTTAATAATAACTTGTAAAAATGTTGAAAAATTAACTTAAAATATTTATTTAATAATTGTTTTTTTAGTTATTGTGGGAAAGATTCAAAGAATTTGCTCGTGATACTGAGTCTACAGGTAGTGAACGAGTTGCTACAGTTAATGGCATTGCTGATCAGTTAATAAATGTTGGTCATAGTGATTCTGCCACTATTGCTGAATGGAAAGATAGTCTAAATGAGCAATGGCAAGATTTACTTGAACTCATTGAAACTAGAACACAAGTAAATTTATTTAACTAGTTAAATAAAATAACTACCAAAAATTATTGTACCATATAGTTGTTAATTATATTCTTTTTAATTATCTCTTAGATGCTAGTGGCTTCACGAGAATTACATAAGTTCTTCCATGATTGCAAAGATATGGTTAGTCGTATTTCTGAAAAGAGTCATGAAATGTCTGAAGATCTTGGTCGCGATGCAGGTTCAGTACACACATTACAACGTAAACATCAAAGTTTTTTACAAGATTTACACACACTCAGTGCACAAGTTCAAGCTATTACTGAAGATTCAGCACGTCTACAAACTTCATATGCTGGAGACAAAGCCAAAGAGATAACTGGACGAGAAGCTGAAGTAGTAAATGCTTGGGCTGCTTTACAATCTGAATGTGAATTACGTAAACAAAAGTTAGCTGACACAGGAGATTTACATAAGTTCTTTAATATGATGAGAACCCTTACAATTTGGATGGATGATGTTGTTAGACAAATGAACACTTCTGAAAAACCTAGGTAAATACTTCATTTAAAAAAATATTATTTACTTATTATTATTTTTTACTATTAGGGATGTTAGTGGTGTAGAGTTATTAATGAACAACCACCAAAGTCTTAAAGCTGAAATTGATACTAGAGAAGATAATTTCACTGCCTGTATTTCTTTAGGAAAGGAACTCCTTTCAAGAAATCATTATGCTTCTAATGAAGTAAATATTTTTTTATTTAATAAAACTTACATATCGCTATGCGAAATGAATAAGGCAGTAACTCAAAAAAATTCATTTTGAGATTAATGAGGTATTTGAATTTAGGTTTTACTCTTCTTATAATAACTTTCATCAAAATATTGACAATTTTAATTGAATTGGAATTAAATTACTAAGAAAATTGATAAACATAAATTGTGTAATCAAAGAGTAAAATTTATTTTCCATATCTTGAAAAGTTAGAAAAAGTGAAACTTAAAAGTTTAATGCCTTATTTGTTGCATATAACGATATAGACTTTTTATGTTATTAGCAGATTTTTTTTTTTAAATAACTAGGATGCAGAGTTATATGCATTAATAAATATTTCTTAACCCGCTTTAAAGGGTCTCAAGTTTGTGAAACTTTGTCTGAGCTTAAAAATATATTCATTTTAGGTTAAAATAAACCCTTTCAATCCCCTAATACTATAACCTTGGTAACATATTACTAAGTTCTAGTCAATTAAAAAAAATTTGTATTGGATAATGGTATGATTGAAACAAGATTGATTAAAAATACACATACAAAATATATTTTTCTAATGTATATAAGAAAATAATTATTTTTGAGACCAAGAAATGTTAAGTAATAAAAACAATAACCCCCGCACTGGACCTCTAGTGATCACTATAAAATGTTAATAAATTTTTTATTTAAATTAGCTTTTTTATTACCAGTGACACCTGGTGTCCTGATACTCATGCTAGTATAACTTTGTTGAACCTCAATTGTGATTCTAAAGTTTCTCTGCATTCGAGGACAAGCTTTGAATTCATCTGATCATTACAGAGTGCTTTCAGAGCCTCTTGACTATCACTTAAGATAGTTATCTTCCTTTTCTTGTATACCAGCAGGTTCTGAGCCCCTACCAGTATCGCCATCACCTTTGCTTGGAAAACAGAGTGTTATGCCCATTGACGACACGCTAACATTTATTTGAGGCTTTAGACCCCAATACCAGCACTCTTAAAGTTGTTAGTAATCAGTCATTTTAATATTTTGCCACTTGAAAAATTAAAGTTGATACCCTTATTATGTATAAGGGATAATACTATTTTGATAAATTAAGAAAAACATGTAACTAAAAGTACCAAAAAAATATATTATATATGTTTGATGTATTAATCATTCATTAATTTATCAATTTCATTATTAATAAAATTGTTTAATTTCTTTTGTTTTATTTGTAGATTAAAGATAAACTAATGCTATTAAATACACAAAGAAACTCATTACTAAATAGATGGGAAGAAAGATGGGAAAACTTACAACTGAGTAAGTAATATTTTAGACAAAATTATTTCTAAACAATTAAAAATTTAGTTTATTGATTAAGACAATCTAATTTTTTTCTTATAACTTAGTTTTGGAAGTGTATCAATTCGCAAGAGATGCTGCCGTTGCTGAAGCTTGGTTGTTGGCCCAAGAACCTTACATAATGAGTTTAGAACTAGGAGTAAGCTAATTAGACAATACATTTATTTATTCAAGTATATTATAAATATCTATCATATCTTTATCATCTTTTAGATGACTATTGATCAAGTTGAAAATTTAATTAAAAAGCATGAAGCTTTTGAAAAGTCTGCTATAGCCCAAGAGGAAAGGTTCTGTGCTTTGGAACGATTAACTACCGTAAGAATTAACACAAAAATTTTAATAATTGGTAATAAATTCTATAAATTTAATATTTATAGTTTGAATTAAAAGAAATTCAACGCAAAAAAGAAGAAGAAGAAAAGAAAAAACAAGAAGATCTTGCTAAACAGGCAGCCCAAGCTGAAGCTGAAGCAGCTGCTAAAGCGTATGTTTTAAAAACTTATTTTTTTATCTTTTATTATTTATTCATTATTATTTCTATGAATAGTGCAAAAGAAGCTTCAGAAATAGATGGAAAAGCTAAGGATGGAGAAGGTCGACCTGGTAAGTTAATTTTTGTTATCTTATTATTTAACATCAAACAGTTGCATGTCCAATATATGGATATAATGGTGGTGTTAAAAATAATTTTAAACACATACCATTAAAGTATATGTTACCATTAATTAATTTAAGTCAGTTCTTCTTAATCCATTATTAGGTATAATAAAAATAACCAATTTTCTTATCAAGAAGAATTTCTTCAAAAAATTGAAAAAATAAAAGTTATTAAAGAAAAATAATTTTAAATTTAAAAAAAATAACTCAATAGAATATTCTTTAATTTTAATTTTCACTTACATTATTGAAATTGTGATTTATAAAAATAAATCATCTGTTTTTCCAGTTTATACTGCTATTATTTATAAATGAAATCAATTATGTAGATTTTTTATGTTATTTTTTATATCTATGTAAAAATTGTAATTAATATTATACATCATTTGTAAAATATTGTTTATCACGGAAATAATTAGTTTTTTGCACCTTGTAAATAATTACAATTAATGAGATAAACATGAAATATTGTATAATGTTATATAATTTTTAATTCTATTAAATATCATTAGAAAATTAATTAACTTCATAATTTTACAAAATATTTATTATTTATACTGATATGATATAATAAAAATTGGTGTTTAAAATTTTTATAAACTAAATTACCTTGCATTAAAATAAAATATATATATATGTATTATAATATTTAAGTGATATAGGATAGATGTAAAAAATGTTCATATATTATATTTTGATATTTATTCTATTATACTGAACATACAAAACTTATTCTTGTTTATATTTGCACGCTTTCGTTATCTTAAACTAACATAATAGTGTCAGTTCGTAAACCTCCACCCACTAACCTCGCACTGACATCGCCCATTGAAAAACCAACTGCAGGTACATAGTAACTTAAATTTAAGTGTCTTAATAAATAATTTTTTTTGCATGTTACTTATATTTTTTAGCATGTAGAAATTAATATAGTTATATTAGTGGATAGAACTAACAAGTTAATTCTTAACTATTCCAGTGACAATATTTTTTATAATATTAATGTTAGTTTGCCAGCCAGCATGAAATGAATTGTTTTGTTATTTAACTATTTTTGTAGTGCATGTGAGCTCTGCATCCAGCAAGAAGATTGCAATGGCTGGTCCCAGTGGATCTGCCAAATCATCAGCAACACTGCCTGCAAGTAAGTACTTAGTTGCCTAAATAGGCGTAACGCTTGCTACGCTTTTAAAATTATTCAACATTTTTATTGATGTAAGCATGTGGTTTGAAGAATAACAAAAAATATAACTTAATTTAAAATATACTTATTAAAGTAGCAATGTATGTGCAAATCCATTTAACTAAAGATGTTCATTTTAAATTTATAAAAAGCTATTAATTTTATTAGTGAATAATTTTTATGATTTTGACAAAAAATATTAATACATAATTTTTTATTCATAGATAATTAACAAATTATAATTTTTACATTCTTTAGAATTTAATAGATATAATTTTATACCTTAACCCAATAATTAAATTAGTTATAAAAAACAATCTTAAACTTAAAATTAATGATTTTATTCTTTATATTGTCTAATATAAAATTCACGATACGGAATGATTAATAAACTATGCCTAACATAATATCTATAAAAGTATAAAACATACTATAATTTTTAATTTTGAGAAGTTAATAATATCTTAGGTTCTCTTATTAAAAAAAAATTGGTTCTGTATAGTAGGAGTAATGCAATTCTCATAAATACCCAGAGATAAAATAAAAAAAATACATACTATTCTTCCTGTTGTAGTATGAGAGTGCTAATATCTTTTAAAATACTAGTTAAAAAGTTAACCAGTCACTTTCTTATATTAAAGTAAATAAAAAATATATGTTTCCATTTAAAAAACTAATGTTGAAAAAGTTTTAAGGGGAAAAGAAGAGGACCATATGTTTTCTGAAAATCATTGATATAGGATACAATTTCTGAAAAGAAAAAGTTATAATATGTTTTATATTTTTAAGATATATTATGTGAGGCCTAGTTAATCAATAACCTTAAAATATTATGTATTCAATTAATAAATATTACATTTAAATTATCACTGTTTAGAAGGAATTCTAATATTTTTAGAAGATATAGTATTAACAATGAATGAATTGATTATTAAATAAGGATTGAAAAATCTTTATTTAAATGGAATAATCTGATTTAATATATACATTTATAAATTATATTTTATATTTAGTTTTTGTGCTTGTCGTAAATATGTATTTTTGTTTTTGTTTTTCGTTTGTGCATTTTGAAAAATTAGCTTCGCGAAGTCAGTTAATCAAAGATCGAAACAAGGACAGGTCGAGATCTAAATCGCCATTCCGAAGTTTTCGGTGGAAAAAATCACCACAAAAAAGCCCGTTGTCGGCTGTTACTTCAGCTAGTGACGATGAGGCCATTGTTGAACGCAATTCAGGTATTGTAATTTACAAAAAAAACAGGTCAAACATCTACAAAAGTTTTTAAATTTTTGAGTGTTATAATTGTTATTTTTAAATACTAGTTTTTTTAAGTGCGAACATTTTTAAATCATCTTTAATCACATTGCATGGAATTTTCCAAACACAAAATATATTATCTTAATTAATTTTAATTTATTAAATTAGGTAAACAAATCATAATTAATTAAATTATTAATTTTTTAATTATTATTTCAGACCAATCCACAGCTGATGAAGGTGAAATCCAAGAAGGTATTCTTAATAGAAAACATGAGTGGGAGTCAACTACCAAAAAGGCATCTAACAGGTTAATATTAAAATATATGTTATGTAAAATATGTTTCAATATATATGTATATATATTTTTAGATCTTGGGATAAGGTATTTGTATGCATACAAGGCACTAATCTTGCGTTCTACAAAGATGCTAAATCTGCTAAGTCAGCTCCAGATTCATACTTCAAAGGTGAAACACCTATTGATTTACGTGATGGTTCTGCAGATGTTGCTACTGATTATACTAAAAAGAAGTTTGTTCTGCGGGTCAAGTTGTCTACTGGAGCTGAGTTTCTGTTCCAGGCGAGAAATGATATTGAAATGAGACAGTGGGTTAATACATTAAAAAGTGTATGTGAACAGGTTACTGCTGGTACTCAGTCTAGGTCTCAAACCCTACCAGCAGGTGGTGATAAACGTGAAGAACCAAAGCGCCGTAGTTTCTTTACAATGAAAAAAGTGTAAGAAAATCTCTTAAATCATATTTATTCTATTTAATCCAAGAAATATTTATTGAAATATATACATTTTAGTTAAATGTGTGTTATTGGTGCACCTACAATAAGACAGCTTACATTAATATCTTCAAACTCGCTTTGAGAAGAATATTAACATGTGAAAATACGACTTTGTGCACATTTCATATATAAATTTTATTTTGTATTTGATATACCAACAATTAACCAAAACTTATGATTGTTTAGTTTTATTGATTTTATTTTATTATATATTTTTGAATTTTGCAATGTTTATTTTATTTATTTTAATAAATTATTTCTTTTTTAATGCTCGAAATCAGTTTAAATACTTAATTTATAATTTATAGTAAGAATAAATAAAACCTATTAAGCTAATAATATTTAATTAACATATTGTTCATATATTACAATATGATATATATTTATATATACTCATAAAGTATTATTTTTGTTATTTATTCAACATGTAACAAGTCGCCTGAAATAAATGATTTATAAATATTATATATATTTAGAGCAATTTTAGTATTTTAAGATTACTATTAATATAGTTTAATAGAAGTTATTTGATAAATATATATTTATGAGATGATAAACATAAAAATTATCCTTCAGTATCACATTTTTAGTTACCTTTAAGGCTTAACAGTATACTTATAAGTACAATTTTGCTATATTTATTTTTAAATAATAATAAAAAAAAAAATAAAAAAAACACAATTTTTTTTATATAAATCTTCTACTTTTGGCATTTGGTTCCTTTATGCATAATTTTGTGCTTTAAAAAATTTATTAATTGTTTATCTATTTATATATATATGTCTAATTTTATTTAAAATTATGGATCGAATATCATTGTTTTATCGAATGATTTATAATTGTATGTAAAGGATAAACAAGAACTTAATTGTGTACCTAAATATTTGGAAACCTTGTGTAATTAAAAAAATTATTTTGAACTCGCTTTAAAGAAATTTATTTAGTAGATCAAATAAACAATTCTTTGCGAATCATCTACTTTTCTTTATTTTTGATAACCTTATTAAATATCATATATCTTTTTCTACTCAAAAGTGGGATATTAAAAAAAATCATTGATAACTGTAGGATAAAAACAATCTAATTAAAATTGTTTCATAAAAAAAATACATCAATTAGTCCCATTAAATATGCTAATTGTGTATAAAAACTTAAGAAAATGAATAGCTAAACTTTAATTAGTAATATTTGAGATTTTTCATAACTCTTACATTTGATATTTGTATTGTTTTAGTTTTTATCTTTTCGTCAAAGGCTAAACTACAGACTGCTCCGACTAAGCTATGGCCTGACCTAATTTTTAGTACCTTTACTGAATAATAAACGTTAAACATAACCAGGCGCAGTTTTACAGAAATATGAACATCATTAAATATTCATGATACACTATTTTTAAAAACTAAAATAATAACACTTCACAGCACTTGTGCCAAACAATACTAAATCCAATATACAATTTCGTCGTTAATTCCAAATCTGATTTTAAAAGGTTTACACACTAGGCGTTTTTAAAAACGCGGCGATTAATTGTTTTAATTAAATCGCCCGCATTTATATTGAACCATGCAAACTATGACAAAAGACATGCGTTCGGACGCGACCGATCGCTAAAATTAAACAATACAAAATTGCATGTTATTTATCATTCACACGGGACGATTAAACGCCGCGATTTCGGGGCACGTGAGGGATCATTCAATCTATAATACACAATATTTTTATAACACGGTTATTTTAGTAAACATTGACGTAGTTTTAACATCATATTTTGATTTTAACAAGGACGGACCTACAAATAATTTTTAGGAGGGTATGGATTGAATTTTACCAACTGTTAGTGATAAATTAGCCGACTAAATTATTTCAATGAGTTAAAGTCCACATTTTATACGAATATTTAATACTTTTTTTTATACATTCAAACTTGTCATATTATAATAGATCATATTTTATAAGATAAAATTTATCATATAAAATAACATGTAATAATACTTTTATGTAATTTTTTAATTTCTGTGGAGATAATAACAAAAGTTTGTGTGCATAAAAGTATATAAATAGTACGTTATAAACTTTTAAAGAGAAAATTATTTGAGTAGTTTTTTTTAATAATTTAACTAATAATAATTATTATTTTTAAATAAAACTTTTTATCGGTGTATTTTTAAGAATCCAAAGAGTATCGCGATAAAATTGCAAAATATGTTAGCTAGTGCAAAATAACTACAAGTTTTATTCCAAATTTCGTGGATTTGGACAAGAAAACTAAACAAACCAAGAGTAAGGAAAAATTTAATATATTTTTTCTTTACATAATTTTAATTTATAGAATGTTGAAATTTAGTGCAAATCGTTGTAGTATAAAAAATATATAGATATACTTATCCTATAACTTTATTTTGCTAACTTAAAGAATATTCCACTCAGTTATTGAACGGTTTTCCTGGAAAATGTCTCAACAAATGTTTGTTTAAAGCAAAAGCTTCATCTCCAACAATTACGTAAGGTTGGGTGTACCTTTTTTGTCTTCAGGTAACACATTTTCAGATGGAAAATTGATTTGATTCACGTAGAGCTTTTTATCGAATGCTGAATTTTTTAGGATATTACAGTTGCTATTTTTTCCAAAAGATCCTACGTCAATAATTATGAATACTATTTTCATGATTTTCTAGTTAAAAAGGTTGGACTATTATCTCAAAAAATAAATCTAATTGTTTTAATTAATTACAGTAAAATGTTTAAACACTAAATGGAAATCCCTCAGAGATAGTTACAGAAGAAAATGTGTTTCAAAATCAAACCAGACAAGGTTAAGCATAACTAAATACTCATATAGTAATATTTTGAAATTCTTACGTCCTACTATGACAAATCGTGAGTAAAATTTTTTTTGTTATTGCTTTTAAATAAATAAGTAAGTAATATTGTAAAACGCTATCAAAATTTATCATAAATTTTACTTTAAGGAATTTGAAATAACAAACGTAATATGATTTTATATTCAATTTGTAGAACAGAAAGTAATTTTACACAAGAAAATGAAAATAATGAAAGTGATTATGATGAAATAAATATGAAGAATACTCGACTGATGATGGTGAAGGCGTCATTGTAAAAGACAATATTGAATCAAAAAATAGTATAACTATTCAAAAGTCAAATGTTATACCTAAAATAATGAAACGTCAAAAGAAGAACTTGGAAGAAGGAAATCAATCAAAAGACTTGGAAAATCAACTTGTTTCTTAAAACAGGATACCTGAGGAAATGATCCTGATAAACTATTTCTTCTATCCTTACTACCACAAATCAAAAAAATTTCCGAAGACCAGGAACCTCAATTATATATTGACATTTTAAGAACTATCCAAAGAGCTAATTTAGGTAATCATCAAATTCCTTATTATTATCAACAACCACATGGTTTCAGGAATATTAATAATTTTTAAATATCAACTCCTCATAGTTCATCTCCTAACTTTACATCCTCCTTCTATCAGAACACACAATATTCAAATTTCCAAAACTATCCCCCTTCAAAAAATATTCCATCAACTTCTTAAAAAACTATTTTAAATATGATATCCCCTTCATCGGCTGCTGATGATCCAAGATCCGACACATCATTAAACTCAACTCCTTCTCACTTACAAACACCAAACAAAGGATCTTCATTTACTAAATATTAATTTGAAAATTTGTAATAAAATTTACATTACAATTTTCTTTCTTTTTTTTTTTACCTCAATGTAACTGTATGTCACTACTGGTGGTATTGATAATCGTAAAAAAGTTTTTAAAAAGTCTTTTTGAAGTTTTAATCCAACTAATAGCATCTTTAAATTTCAGATAATTCATATATTTTTTTTAAATTTAATATTATATGAGATTTTATTTAATTATTTCATCCATTATATTACTTAAAATACTTAATAAAATAATTTGAAATCTTTTTTGAAAAAATTTTTTTTATTTTGATCTGGACTAAAGTGTATAGATCTAATTTTAGGTCAAACTCAAAAAATTTAAAGATCAACTTAAAATTTTGAAGTTTTAACTTAAAATCTACTTGAAATTCTTTATTCAGCTATATGGTCCAGTGGGATAACTGTGAATAGGGGACATTGTAAACGAGGCTGACATTTTGAACCAAATTAACAAACATAAATTTAAATATAAATATTTAAGTTAAAAATTTTCTTTCGTAAATGATATTGGTTAAATTATTTTTGAGTTTTTTAAATGACTTACAAACTTTTCCTGATAATTTGGATTTAATGTAAATTCCTTTAAAATAAAAATATAAAATACAATTTTTTTACAAATTTCAAATAATTGTTCTAGAAATATAATTTATTAATTATTGTTAGTTAAGTTTAATGTTCGTCAGTCTTTTTGCAATGTTTAGAAATACTTCATTTAACATTAAAAATTTAGTTTATAAATGTATGTTTTAAAGTTTTATAACCACCCAGGAAATACTTAAATTGTCTTTTTATGAGCAAATATATATATTTTTAGGTCTAGTAGTAAAATTAAAATAAAATGTTTATTTTTTTATATAAAAGAAACAAAAACTATTTTTGAATATATTTTGTTCTGTACGTGTAAAATAATAACTAAAAAACTTAAAAATTGAACAAACTAGTATTGAATTCTGTTATTGATTTAAATTAATGAATTAAAAATTTTTCTTGCATACAAAGTTGCAATTCTATGTACACATTTATTTCAAATTTTTATGACTAATTATGCTTTAAAATAAAAAGTAAAAATTTTGTCATAAATAACATATTTAAAAATAATTATTATTAATTTCTTATAAATATTAAGAGAGTATATTTTTTTATTAATTTGATTAGATATTTATAATATTGAAATATAAAAAAATTTGGGAAGGATAATTTAATTCCCATCTTTAATTTTCTTTTAAATCTTTGTATTTCTCTCGTAGACTAAACACTCTTTTACTTTAATAAATATTTTTGCCTCGACATTAATAAATGTCTGTTGATTTCAACCATAGCAAATTTAGTGTTTGAAAATATAAAAAAAAAGTTCAGAAATATTACTACAAAAATTTATTTATTTTTTAAGGAAATTACTTTTATTTCTTAAATTATTAAAATAAACACCAAGTGTAAAAAATTATATGGAAAAACTATTGTTAATTGTTTAAAATAAAGTCACAATTTTGTTTCTTCATTAATCGTCTTATATAAATACATGAGTGCAAATAACTTTCACTATATTTTTAATCTTTAATTTCCGGTGACAAACTGAAATCATCTTTATTTTTTGTATACTTTTTAGTTTTTTCGTTGTCAGAAGAACTGGAACTTGAACTTGAACTAGATCTACGACTATTCTTCTTTTTTTTGTCACTATGGTCTCTTTCTTTGGATCGATTTCTTTTTCCCTGTCCATGTCGGTCATTATATTTATCATGTTGACGGGATTTATTACGATTTCTACCAGCATCTCTATCTCGAGTATATGTGTTTTCATGTCTTTTCCTTGGTGACCTAGATCTTGAATGTCTGTCATTACTTCTTTTATCAATTTTTTTATTTTGATGTCTTCTACTATCTTCATGTTCATATCTCTTTCTAACATCATGAGTTTTATGTTCTCCTTTTTTAGAATCATGATGTTGACTTCGAACATTTTTAATATTACGATCACGTATTATTTGAAATACGTCTTCAATCTTGGCCATTTTATCAATATCCTCTTTATCAGTTTGTTTGTTACACTAAAATTTCCCAAAAAAATTAACATTTTTATAAATATTTTATACAAATAGAGCATTGATAGTTAAAATTTTGACAAAATTATAATTCTCAGAAGACCTAATTACTTAGTAGTTAATTGATTAAATACATATATAATACTACCTTAAATATTTTTCTAGATATAGTTCATAAAATATAATGTTATGCATAACACACAACAAATAACAAAAAAAAATTGTATTGTTTAAAATTTATAATTAATTTCTATAAGAATATTTCTAGCTTCTCTACAATGTTATGACAATGTTGCATAAACTTAGAACCTTCCAAAGTGTCTCAAACAGAATTTAGTAATGTATATAATTCTGGATCCTAATCATAAATAACAGATATAATTACCTTAGGTGGACTGCCTGGAGGTGTTTCACCATTCTTATTTCCTTTTTCTTGTTTTTCTCGTTCTTCATGTCTTTTTTTTCTAGCTTCTTCTCGTCTTTTGATTTCTACTTCTCTTTCTTTTCGTTCTATTTCTAATTTCTAAAAACATAGGATATAATGGGATAAATTTAAAAAAAAATTTTTTTCCTATAGAATATTTAACCGACTTTATTTTTTACTTTTACTTTTTACTTTATTCATTTTATAAAAATGTTATCAAAAAAAAAAAAATTGTATTTTTAGATTTTATGATATGTAAAATATTTTTAATTAAAAATATAATAGCTTTTGAGGTGGGGAAGTGATGAAAATTTTGATAAAATGAAGGGACTTATCATAACATATAGATCAACAATTTTAAAACTGCTTAAAACAAAATGGGTTGTGCTTCTGTCTAATGACAATGATCCAAAAATATAGTAAGAAACATAGCATAACTACCAATAATCTAATTTTAAATAAATGTGTAAAATAAAAAAAAACAGGTATAAATCTACTTTACTGAGTATACTTTATTTCAATTTATCTTTTTTAATTTTTATTAATATGCTAATATTTTTAAAAGGAAAAACAAGTGGTTCAAAGGTTACATTTTAAAAATTTTAACCAATTACAGTACAAAATTCGGTATATTGTTATCTCATGTTAAAAGGAAACTGTTATTTATTACAGGTGATCCTTTTTCACAAGTAATAATTGTTGCTATATATTTAATTTTGGGAATATTTTATTTATAAGTACGAGTTAAATATGAATAGTACTATAATATTGTTCATAATCGTTTACAATGTCTACAGCTGTGCATGAAGGACAACATATCAAGTATTCTATAATCATTAGTAATGTTAAGTTAAATATTTCTATTGTTTTGATTGTTATGTATAATATAAGTGTTTCTTAGTTTTGCATCGAAACTAAAAAAAACAATCAAAAAGTTGTTAAAAATATCTACTCAATTAAGTGTATTATAAAAATTGATAATATTTAGAAAAATAAATTATTAAATTCAGGTGAAACCCAAAATCATTTCTTTAGAAATGATTTACATATAAACATGTTACCAAAAAATTTATAATATTGTAGAATGGTAGAAGAGCACACAAATAGAGTTAAATAAGCCAGCACAGTGGGGACGTGGGAGAGTTGGGTCCAGTACAGATTTAATCTGACAGTGATTAAAATCACTATCATAAAAAATGCTTTGATGCAAATCTGTAGATAGTGTTGAAATTGCCAGTAATTCACCAAGAAATTGATGAATTATTTCAAAAGAAACATGATCTTCTATTTCCTTATTTATATCCTAATTACAAGTTTTATGATTCATAAGTGTATTATATGAATAAATATTTATTATAGCAATTAATTTATTACAAAAATCTTATTTTTTTTATTAACTTTGATGTCCGTGTTCACCATAAAAACAACATTTTTTTTCTATAATAAAGTATATTACATTAGCTTTAATTTAAAATTTATATAAGTGTCAGGATTTCCAGAATTTTTTGTGAAAAAGTTGTCATTTTGAAACCCCTATAGGCACATAAAGGGTCAGATTTATAAAAAAAAATATACAAAATGATAGGTAAATACCTCATGTAGCTATATAAAAAATTTTTTTTATTAATTTGGTCATTTTATAAAGTTATGGCAGTTTTAAATAAAAAAAAAGTTTAAAAAATGTCAAAATATACCGATTTTAAATTGTAATTTTTTTTTTGTAAATTTCCTTTATTTACAAGGAACAAGGGAAATTTTTTCAATTTTTATGGGTAATGTCTTCAATTAGATAAGATTTGTGTTCGTTTAATGTATCATTAAAAGATATTGTTGCAACACACAATAAAAAACACATCATAGTAAAACTAATACCTTCTAAGTTTTGCATCAAAACTAAAAATGGGTGCCTGGTTAAGTAGACTTGTTCCAATAAAAAAAAGGTAAAAAGAATATTCTTAAAAAACTAACTTCAAACTCATTGTAAGTGATTATTTTTTTTTGCTCTTGGCGCCAGTGAGGTGGAGTATAGCTTCTAGATCGACTACGCGAAGGTGTACGAAATCTAAGCATTCCTCGTCCTTTAACAACCCTTCCAGATTTAGTAACACCTCGAATTCTGTTTTTTTTTTTTTGTTTGTCGATTAAGTCTTGTTGAGGTTTAATAGGGTACATTAAAGAAGGTCCTCCACGTGAAAGAAATCTATTTGGTGGTCCTGATGGTATTTCTTCAGGATCTATATTTGATACAGACACAAGTGGATGTAATTGGCCATTAGATTCTTTTTCACCATTATCAACTTTTAATTGATTTGACCTGTAGTATAAATATTTTTTTGGACATTATTATATTTATATGTATTTTTTTATACAATACTAAATAGAACAAAAATTGTTTTACTCATCCAGAAAAATTTGAAAGATTATAATCTTATAAATATTTTTTTACTATTCTACATATCTATATAAATTAAATATATCCATGTAAACATTAACGATTTAATAAAATAACATTTAAACAGATATATTGAATAAAGACATTAATAGATATGCACATATACAAAGAAAACTTTTAAGGATTGTTACAAATTCTAATAATTAGAAAGAATATAATTTATTCCATACTTTTTTCCATCTCTTTTTTTTGAATCTTTTTCCTTTTTCTTTTTTTTATGTCTACGCTTTTTGTCATTATCAGATTCTGAAGTTGAATCACTATCAGATGCCTTATTTTGAACATCTAAAATTTTAAGGATTAAAAATAAACTTCTTTATTCTTGTATGAGTAAACAGCCAGAAAATCTTACGTTTAACTTTTGATTTTAGAACAAGCTCTCCACACTTGACTACTTTTGCATCTTGCAATGGACGTGAATTTTTATCAACCCCAAGCTCTTCAATCTGCATAATAACTGATTGACCAGATACCACTCTTCCAAACACCACATGAATTCTAAAAAAATATCCTATTTAATAAAATGCTAATTTAAAAAAGTTGTAAATAGTTTTTACTTACCCATCTAAGTGAGGGGTTGGTTGAGTAGTTCTACAACAGACATGACATACGACCAAAATTTTATTAGGCTATTCTGATATACTGATCACCATCAACTTATTATCACATTATAAAATCAAAAACTTATTAGTATAAATATACTAAAACACAAGATTCATGCCATCATTCCTTTGAATTTTGATATATTTTCAGATTTAAGAATAAGATATCATTAAACAAATGTGAATATAGTAAGATGTTAATTACAAATTACTTTGTTTGCATATCATTTAATGAATTACTTCCACTCACCAGAAACATATTTCTTTTCCAGAAAATTTAAAGTAACAAGATATGAATAATAAGTAAATTTCTGCTTTTTAATAGTTGAAGTTGAAAATGATGGCACAATCCAATATTGTCATTAACTAAGACGTAGTTTTGATGATATAATTGAAATATTGTACTTTATTATTCATATGTATATTATACTTGTAAATAAAGCAAATATTTAAGATGTGTGATTTATAAATACATAAGATTTCTTAAAATTAAATTAAAATATAATAAAGAACAAATTTTTGAACTAGACACATTAAAAGAAAAAACTAATTTAAAAAACAATGAAAAATAACTCTAGTTCAATAACCTAGTTCTTTACTAAGAAAGTTTACAATTATTAAACCAAAATAAAACTATATTTAACTTACATAAAAAATTGAGATCCATTAGTATCTGGACCTCTGTTAGCCATTGATAGCAAAAATGGTTGATCATGTTTCAAATCAAAATTTTCATCTAAATAGACAACAATATGAATTTAACAGAACATGTCGGATTTCAAATAATCACAAATTATCCAGAACTAGGCAAATTAGTCATTTTTAAACTAGTTTAAGTTAAGTTATTTTAATATAAAAACTGACTAGGTTAGAATAAATGGTAGTTGGTTAATAGTAACTCAAGTTAGAGTAAAAGTTAGAAGTTACATTTTATTATAGTGTAAAATATAAATTTAAAAAATTGTTTGTTCTAATATATTAGTCTATATTACCTATATAATATATCATAATAACAGTATTAATATTTTATTCTAAATATTAGTTAAATTTTAATAAAAGTGACATTTCATCAGTCATAGATCCACACCTATCATCAATAATTGGCTTCCAGCATTAAAAAATTTCTTGATGTAAGCACTGGAAATAATACTTGTGTTATACTTAATATATAATTGTTGTGTTTCTTTTTAAAATAAAGAAAAATAAAATGTAAAAACAGCAGATTTAATACTTGTCAAGCAACATGTGTGTAGTAATTTCAAGGTTCTGGTACAATTGCACTTTGTGATACTACTATTAATATAGGTTTATGACTATAAACCTTACAACAACTTTATTATGAAAATTCAACATTGAATAAAAAATTTCAAAAATACAAAATACTCAATATTAATTATAAATGCATTGTAACTAGTTGATTTTATTTCTAAAATGTTAGATTACATTTTTTTTACATATTTAATTTAATTAATTAAGTTAAAATGTTATTACGTGTTAGACCTAAATAATTAATTACAATGTTACTTTAATAGTAACTTTCTAATTAATTAGTACCCAGCTTTTAAATTATCAAACTATTAAAAAATAATAATAACAATACATTTAATTATTTTATTTTTAAATAGTTTTATTTATAATTACTATATAATGCTAAATTAAAAGACATGCATTTCAATACAAAGAAGAAATATGATTTAAACTTACAAAAGATAAAATTTATGGACAAGTGCCATTTATAATACCAATTTTGATACGTACCAGGAAATGTTCCTCCAAAAATTGATTCACCACCTGTACCATTTCCAGCTGAAAAATCTCCAGCCTGTACCATAAAAGACTTGACCACTCGGTGAAATATGATGCCTTGGTAGTGCAATGGTTTACCTGTAGTCTTACCTAATCCTTTTTCCCCAGTACATAATGCACGAAAGTTTTCACAAGTTAAAGGACAAAAATCATCAAATAATTCAAATACAATACGTCCCAAAAGTATATTATCAACCGCAACATCCATAAAACATCTTGGGCGCACATGGGTTTTCATATCTGCATCACCCATACTGATTACAAATCTAAAATATATATATATTTTTTTTTTGAAACTTATATACTGTATTCTTAATATATTACTTTATAAATACATTAATTTTTTAATAAAATAATAGTTTAATAAATTAAAAATAACAAATGGTATTTTTTAAAGTTATATTGAGGTGAATGATAATGAATATTTATAGAATGATAAAACAAGTGTATGTAGCGATGCTATCTTTTTGTCCATATTCAGTGTTGTTATTAAATAACTTCAATCATTTATACTTACTTTTCAAAACTTATATAACTAGAATCTCAAAGATAGTCAAAATCTTATATTGAAGTTGAAAAAAAAACTCAATAAGAATTAGACATTATAAATATTCATGAATAGGTACACAATTTACTTTGTAACAGTTAGCAGAATTTGTATAAACACCATTTGTATCTAATATTCGATTAGTACTTTTCCTAACCTACGATCCCCACCGTATATTATCAATTTTTTCTAACGATGAAAAACAAATCGACGCAACAAAATGAATTACAACCGTGTTATAAAATATAATATAATACCACAAACTAAATGAAACATTTAGATAACCATAGTCATATTGATATCACAACAACTAGATCCGGGGATCTAGTTGAGTTCGGACTAGGTGACCTAAGTTACCTAGGTAACGTAGTAAAGAGGCAGATTATAAATTATAGTCTATAATTTATTGATAACGGTCTTGAAAGCCGAAACCAAAAGAGAAAGAGTGAGAAGTCTATAAGAAGCTGAGAGGTTTTACCATAGATAAGATAAAACTTTATCTTAACTGTGGTTTTACCCTGATACATTTTTTATGTCTGTTCATGAAAATACTCAGCTCTTACTAGACCAATTTTGTTGGTTTATGAATTAAAGGAACCTAATTACAATATCGTTCAACCAATAGTCGACGAAAATAGATAAACAAAACCCTCGATTTCAGAAATTAAAAATTACAATACCGTAAAAAATGCCAATATCAATAATATTTTTATGTATTTTAAAGATACTATAATTTTTTTTAAACACTAATCCTAATAAAAATTTAGTAAAGTAAACAAAAAACAATGAGCTTTCTTTTGGAATACTTCTCTAAAAATTCAATGAAAAACCTAAAAACAAAAAGTGTTTAAAAGTCCACACATGTAAAAAAAATTTGAACATGTTACGAAACATCGATGTCCTTTGATACTATATGAAATTACAGCTTTTGAAATGAACTGCAATACTTTTTAACACATTTTATCTCGATGATTGTTCTAATATAATAAATCGAATTTCATAGTAAAAAAAAAAAATTTTTATTCAATTAAGAAAATCATTTATTTAATATTAGAGTAAACTTTAAAAAATATAAATTATGAAATATATAAATTATTGTGAATTATAACAGATTTACAGCAAAGCGTTTTTTATAATTGTAATGTGAATCACAATCAGATATTATCTATACTTGTCCGACTATGCCGCTTCTTATTATACCGCAAGCCCATTGGGTTGAGTTTTTTTTTTATAAAAATCTCTATTTTATAATCCAATTTAGCAGGTAATCTAATTTATCGTCTAAAAAATAAATCAATTTAAGTCATCACTGATCCTTTAATATTTCTTTATCTTTGATTATATTATTTTCTTGATTAAATGTCTATTTGTAATGTACACTTCATAATTTTAAACAGGGTCGGATATATAGAAATATTAAAAAATAATTTTATGAAATTTATTCATTTATAAATCATTATTTATTTTATTATTATTTTTGATTACAAGAAGCTAAGAGCCATTTATCGATACCATTACTTTTTAGATAAATTATCCTTATTTAATAATCGTAACGTAATTGAAATCTTAATCAATAATTATTTTTCAAAACAAAATATATGTAAAGTATTATTTATTAATATTTTCAAATATTAAAAGAATGTACAAGATTTTATTAAGAATATGAAATTCGAACACTGCAATGTTAATTTGTTTTAAGTATGATTTTAAAATAATTTTTTTAAACGAATCCAGCCAATTATTAAGAATTTTCTATTTCCCCAGATGTAAACTGAACCCAATACTCTCCAAAATCTGAAACACAACAAAATATTAAAGTTGTTTTAAATAATTTTCGCCATCTTTTTGTGTATATATTATACAGGTTCGACGACCTGTGTGTTGTAAATTCTAATTTATAAATATTTTTCGTCAAAACATTTAATTACAAAATACTTATATTTAACAACTACAGCTATAATAATCAAATAAAATTCACCTTCCAAAAAGATATCCTATTGCAATATTTAATGAATCCAATTTAAATTGTTTTAAATGCAGTCCAATTATACTGAATGCCATAAAAATACTTAATATCTGAAAAAATATATATACAGAGTGGAACTGATAATTCTTATAACTTTTAATACATTTTGTATTTCGCTATAAATTTTTCCAAAATAATTTATGCATTTTTGGACTACGTTAAAATCATATTTTTTATTACATGTATTTAACAATAAAATCATTTTTATTTGAATTTTTCTAAATTTAAAAATAGTCAGTTTTTAGCGCTTTTCTTGCAAAAAAATTTATAGTAACTTCAGGATAAGTACTCAATCAATTACAAGTATTACAATACATTAAGTAATTATGGAATGCGAGCGAAATATACGTATACCAATACAAACTACACCTATCCTCACTACATACCCAATATAAATATTAAAATTCTTGTTGCTAAAGGGTTTTTCTTATAGTTGTTATCGAAACATTTTTTTTTTTTTTTAAAGGGCTAAAAATAGTTATTTTGAATTTTTAAAAAAAAATTTTTTCTTCTTAGTGATAAATAATAAAAAAAACGGTAACACAGTGAGGTCGTAGCACAGTATGGACGTAACATAGTGGGACAAGTATAGATGATATCTGAAAGTGTTTAATTTTAAGAAATTGGTGGATTATTCCAAAAGCAAAATTAACTTCTATTTTTTGTTTTACTTCGATTGTCATTTGCACATAGAAAATAGGTCGCCGGTACAAATTTTTTCGGACTTCTAGTACTTAAAATAAGATTTATTTTAACATGTATTTAAAAGACGTAGTATTCTCGGAACATTTTCAAAAGTTAAGTTGAAAAAGTTCTACTTTTTATACAAATTTTCATGATTTTAAAAAGTCAAAAATCTTTTCTTAACTTCGAAGAAGCAAAATAATCAAAATAAGTATAAATTTATTCTTATTTAATTGGTGGACTCGTTAATATGGCAAACTCTTATGAGGTATTTTAAAATAAACAAACAAAATTAAATTTGAACACAAAAATAGCATTTTTTTAACTGCGGTATTCGTTTGCATGTAGAAGATAAGTCGTTGGGACAAATTTTTTTGTTTTTAATTTATAGTACATAACATAAGCTTTCATTTGAAATATGTTTAAAGGATCCAGTATTTCCGGAACATTTTCAAAAGTTAAGTTGAAAAAGTTGAGTTTCGTAAAAAAGTTGCTATTTTGAATTCTCTCTTATGAGCAGATAAAGGATCAGATTTTCAAAAATATTATATCTAATAAAAGTAAATTACTTAAGTTGTCAATATAAAAAAAAGTTATGTTTATTCGTTTATTTTTATTAATAAAACCTTTTTATTTGTTAAATATTTATCGTTAATTATGTAATTGATAAAATGTATGAAATAATTTTGATAAATTATGAATAAAAACTATCAAGAATCTTCCCTAATACTTGAGACTGTTCATAATTTTAATACTAACATATATATGATTTAAGTACATACCTCGCATGAATTAATACTGTTGATGTCCGGGTATATCAATCCAAAAAATATCTGTTTATAAGATGGAATATGTGTTAGGCATCCCAACACAGCGGATATTGCGCCTAACTTCAAATAAACATTTCAATTAAATATTTTTATTAATTTTAAAAGTTTTAATATTATAAAAAGAACTTAAACTTAATTGTATTAATTAAATCGCTTTTAGTTACACTGAAGAAATGTATGCCCTATGGTAATTATTAATAAGTTTTATAATTAAATTATGTTAACAAAAACTTATAAACTTCTGTAACTATACCTATTACAGGAAAGGATAAAAAGTTAATTCTTCCAACAGAAAAAAAATGCTCTAGGTTTTTTATAGAATTAATGACATGATTCAGATTTTGTCTTAGAAAATATACATGGTAAATTTGTTATAAAAATATAGCCCCCTAAGTAAAAAAATTGTATTTTTACCATACTATATCAACTGTCATGAGGGGATTATTAACCTGTAAACCTTCTACAATTAATCTAGTGTAGTATGTGTAATATAGTTATGTAATTTATTTATGATTGTTAAACATTGACTTGATTTTAATTAGTTAAATAATGAATTATTATAATAAATGAATATGTTTTTAAGTATAACTAATTTGACTTCTCAGAGAATCTATCAACAGCAGGCCGTGGGAGACCATGTTTGCTAAGATTTTATTTTAGTGTACTTTTAAAATTTGAATTATAGAATATTCTATAATAATTCACTGTGTTGTAATTGAACTTAATCTAGTATATGTTTTCCTATATCCTAGCCAGATAAGATTTCAGTGAAGCGTTTTTTTTCAGTTTTAAATACTAGTACCTTTGTTTATGTGTGTGTTAAGTCATGCTGTAGACCATACGACACTAGTGTAAAAGTTATAACATAGTGTGTGTAATATAAAATCAAATAAAGATTCAACTTTAATATTAAATATATGAAATTTACTGTCTTATAAATTTTTTGAGTATTCGATTAAGAAAAAAAATTATTTTAAGTTAAATACTCACTGAACCTTGTTTACAATGACATAATTGTAACTTTTGCATAAATACATATCTTGTAAAAGCTATCATAAAACTTGCAATTAAGTAAAGGACAAAAAATTCTTCTATCCCAATGTAAAATCGTGTTATGTAAAAAGGCCAAATGTTTACAGAATCTGATTAAATAAAATAATTTAGATTTAATAATTGAAGAGTGAATGTGTCAAACGTTCTATGTGCCAAAAAAATATTTGTTCAGAAAACACAAAAAACATCACAAATTAAAAATTTTCTTATAATTTTGTATAAAAATATATGTTATGCTATAGTTACACTATATTAATAGCCTCATAAATTTCTATTATTTTATTTTGTCATTTCATATTAGTATAAATTAAACATTTGCTAATGACAGTTCCAAGTGCCAAGAATTATAATATTAAAGTTCCAAGTTCCAAATAATGTGATAATATTATCGTTCCAAGTACCAATATTTTATTATAGATAACAGAAAATCATTCTTTATTTTATTAAGACTTCATATATATTTTTATAAAATATGTAAAAAAATCAACACTTTTTTTGAGTATCACAAATTGAAAAATAAATGTACAAACTTAAATAAAAAATACTCTTAATCTAACATGACATTGTCAGTAAATCTCAAAACGTAAAATAAAATTTTTTCTTCATATAAAAATGTAACAAGAAAAGAAAACAGTAGCTTTCTTGAGTATCACAAATTGAAAAATAAATTAACAAACCTAATAATAATTTAAAAAAAAATCTAGATTAAACATAATTAGAACATAGCAACATCATAATAAATAGCAAAAAAAATTAATTCATGACATTATATTTTTATAGAAGTTTCTGTGCTTATCAGGTAAAAAAGGAATCATGGCCAACAAATCTTTTTTCTTCTCTGACGACAATGTGGGTTTCGGTATAGGTATAAATGTCTGATTTTTAAGTTGGTCTATAGTAGCATTTCTTTTAAAAACGTTAAAATCTTTCTAAAGTTCTTCATCTGAAAATGTTTTTTTATAATAGATTTTTTTGGGAGTTAGAGATGAAACTTTAATTATCGAACATATAGAAATTGGAAACTTGGTTGTGTTAAGAAAATTGTTAGCAATGTCTTTAAATGAGAAAAAGTTGTTTTCATCCATTGGAATAACTCGAAATGGATTTGTCAACTTTGCTGCTCTAACCATTTCTTGTAAATCAGAAGGAGTGAAATTTTGAAAAACTCTACGTCTCTTTTCGATAATAGCAAAATCACGATCACAATCCAAGAAATGTGGCCACTTATCAAAAATGTTTGTATAATCTCATCAAATATCCCCATATTTATTAAATATAACATCAAAACTACTAACGTTTGATAGTCTAATCATTTCTTCTTTTTTTACCGCTTCGTAAAATATGGATACTTTCAGTATCCATAATAACACAACTAAGCAAATAAAAAGAAAACTTAACGAGTACAATAACACCAGTATTAGTTATTTTGAAATATAACGGACTATATCATAATTTTGTTATCATTAAACTATTATATTCGCCCAAGGCACTTAAAACGTACAGGTAACAATGAGCATGTCTCACAGAACAAATACAATCTATGAACGCAATTTTGTACAAGTAAAAAATTTAATTGACACTTGAAACACATACAAGATTGTGACCTTTGGCACATAGAACATAAATCAGAAATAAAACAATTTTTCACTTTTTTGGCACATAGAACGTTTGACACATAAAATTCATGAAGATAGTAAATTTCAAGTGCTCAGGATTTTTTCAGGAGAACGGAGAGTTTGAACGTCTATCAACCCACTGAATTCAGAACATGTTTGTTTATGATTACGCATTTACTTTATAAGTTCATTAGCTACTTATTAATAAATAATATGTTTTAGACATTAAAATTAAACTTACTTATTCCATAAAGTGTCTGATATAAATAATAAGTGGCGAATGTTAAATCCCATAGATTTTCATGACAAAATGAACTCATTAATAGGGACGTAAATGACTTTGAATCTCCTTCAAATATAATTTGACAATTTTTAATAAATCAAAATGTATAAAAAATAATGTTAAAAAGTGTAATTAAAAACATTGTTTTCCATCTTTTTTTATTGTATTTTTTAATTTATTTAATTTTTTAAGAAAGTTTAACGACTACAAATTACTTATTTGAGACTATACATCATTATAACCAAGTAATTATAAATAATATTTTGATCAAATAAACTATATTAAATTTTTACAGCTAATGCTTGTTATACATATCAAGCATATGTGATATGTCAATATTTTAATTTTACAAGATAAAAATATATACATAGTGAAACGTTTTCTTTATGTAATATATAATATTGCATACATACCCAATTTGAATTCAAATATATTATCAATAAAAAAAATTGCAATATTTGAAAATGTCACAATTGTAAAGGCTATTAATCTTGGATTATAATTTTTCGGTAATCTTATAAATTGAACAATATTATTTAAATTCTGTATCTAAAATAAATATGAAAAAATTTAAACTTCAGAATAAACTATATAATGAAGTTTCCATTGTAATTATTCAAAAGTGATTATTTGGTAAAAATTTTAGAAACTTCGGCCATTGTCTGTCATATATATGTCGGAGAATGATTTACGTAAGAAATTTTTTTTTCCAAAAAAAATCTTCAACGCAAGATCCTCTAGGGTTTATGCTTTACTCAAGTCTAACTTATATTATCCATGAAATTAAAAATTACTATTAAATAGAATGAAATAATTCAGAGCATCATTTATGAATTTTGCCGCCCAGGGATCTCAATTCTGTCGCTCAGAAATTTTTTTATTTTGTTCATCAAAATATAAATATAGTTTAAAAAAAATAAGCTTTAAACAATAAAAAACGAAAAATACCAGTATTATTGTGAAAAAAGCGTCTGACACTCAATAAATAAAAATATGGCACAAAGCCTTTTTTGCACAATAATAATAGTATTTTTCGTTCATTATTGTTTTAAGCTTATTTTAAAAATTATTTTTAACTTTTTAGTTCGATATTCTTTAAAAGCGTGTTTTTCAGTTGTTTTAAACTATATTTATTTTTCACTTTTTAGTTTTTTATGACATCGCTATCACAGTCACGGAGTGTTTATTATCAATTATGACTATTACATTTTAGTGTCGCTCGGGGTTCCGCACCAAAATGCAACCCTGAAATAAATTTATTAGTATTGAAACCTTATACAGGAATCAGTGGAGAGCTTCGGAAGACTGAAAAGATGAACACGTTAAATTTTTTTATATTAACATTGTATTGTTTGGTAGATTGACGAAATGTGTGCAAATTTTTTTTATGCCAATAAAAAATTATATTTAGTTGCTCATTAGGATGTGTCACAGCAAAATAACTAACTACTGTAAGGATAGCTCCTCAGTACTATTCCTCCATTCTTTTGGCATTTTTCCTTCTAATAAAATTTTATTAAAAAGATCCTTCAACCACCTTATATCAACATCGTCTAATATTTTCCTTCTACTAGCTCTTCATCTGTTCTTAATACTGTATTCTGTTTCATTGATGCTACAGCCTCGCATACCTCTTTCTGATTAATTAAATCTACCAATCTCTCATTCCACGAGATATCCTCTATTGTCTCTTTTGTATACTCCTCTTTCAGTAATATTTTCAAAATACTTTTTTAACCTTTTTTCACATCATCATTACTCTTTGTTCCTAGCCTATCATACAACTGATCATACCTTTTAAACTTTGCTTTACTTATTGCTAATAGCTTCTTTGCACAATTTTATCAAAAGCATATTTTTCATTATTTGTCAATACTTATAACTCGATGAGTATTTACATAAAATTATTGTTGAACCACGGGGACGGAATTATTAAACTCTTTGAAGCATTAAAAAAAAATAAATGACTTGGTTATTTCTTGCATAACTCATAATGATATATAAAAGCAAGTTCTTGAATTATTTGTGAGCAGAAATTTAATTAAAAAGTATTTTATGTAAAAAATACTTCTTCTATAAATATGTCTATGTAATAATAATAAAAAATTGGTGGATTATACCAAAAGCAAAATGAATTCCTATTTCCTTTATTATTCCTGATTAGTAGTTTTTTTGATTTAGAACTATAATATATGAATAAATATTTATTATAGCAATTAAATTAGTATGAGATTGATATTAATAATTTAGAATTGTAATTTTTTCGGAGAATTTATACAAAATTATAAAATAGTTATTACTTTTATAGCAAACGTGTATAAAAATTAAAGGGCTTGATATAAAAATTTTCAGAAAATAATTATGAATAAATGGTCTACAAATAAATTTCATCATAGTCAAAAATATACTTTTATTATTCAATTTTTCATGTTTGATTTTGTTTTCCACCTCAAAAAAAAAAAAAAAATTAAGATAAAAATGTTATTTTAATTTGCGGGGTTCAAACGTTGTACTCCGAACTTACAAGACTGTATAGTTAATAACGTAACCACTGTGATCGACATGAATAATTTTTATAAAATAAACTATTTAAGCTAGTTCAAAAATTCAAAGTCGCTTTTTTTAACTTTAAAGATGTAAAATAATCAAAATATAAGCTAGATTCATGTAAATTTTATAAAAACTGATGGATTCATTACTATAACAAAGCCTTTTATAAGTATTTTAAAATAAATAGAATGTTTTTTAATTAAGGCAGACATATGCAAGTAGAAGATAAGTTGTCGGTACATTTTTTTTTTTTTTAATATTAATACATAACATAAGCTTTAATTTGACATATATTTAAAGAACAAGTATTTCTGGATCATTTATAAAACTTAAGTTGAAAAAGTTGAGTTTTGTAAAAAAAAGTTACTATTTTGAACCTACCCATTAAATTTTTTTTAATTTCTAAGAGCAATGTCTTCTACTAGATACGATTTGTGATCTTTTGACGTATTGTTGAAAAAAATTGGTCCAGGGAGAGCTGAGAAAAAGTAGTGACAGAAAAAAAAAAAAAAAATCAACACATTATGGTAAAATTAATACCTTCTCAACTTTGTATCGAAACTAAAAATATATTTCATAAAAAATATTAAAATATTAATATTAAATTTTATACAAATTATTGGTCTTTAGACCTTTTTTCTCATATTTTTATAAGTCTATACTTTATAGACTCTATAGGCTTCTTTTACCCCTTCTTAATTTGTAAGATGAACATAATTATTAAAAACAAGATAATGAACATTTAAAAATTGAGCATGGGCGGAAATTTCACAAAAAATTAGCTAATCAAAATTAAGATCGATCATAAGTAAATATTCAGTGCATTTTTAATAAAACTGAAATGCTATCTTAGGATTATTCGATAGTATCACACCATATTCATCTTATTCGAGCTCTTAATTGGAATAAGAAAATTTATTTTTAACATACTATATTTTTTATGAAATCAAGAGAAATGGTTATACTTTTCCACTTATTTAACTTAGGTTGTTGTTCATACTCAATAATGGCTGCAATAGTAAGGACAACAACACTTACCTAAAAAAAAGTTAGTAAAATTAATTTAACTTTATGTTTTTTTAATATATTGAAAAATTAAAACTTACTAATACAATTCTTATGAAAATTTTAAATAAGCAGAAATTACTAATATTAGTTCTGTTATCAATTTGATTTTTTGTATTTCTTTTATTGTTAAACGAATTCTGATATGTCTGTTGTATTTCAAATAATTTACATATTTGTTTCACATTTGGCCACATTATTGTTTTAGTTTACTTATATTTAAGTAATATATCTTAAATACAAATATTTAGTTAAGAATTTTGTTAAATTTTAATAATTTAAGTAATTTTTATAAAATAAAACATGTTATAGTAACATAATAGAATAGTATGTTTATTTATATGGTCCAGAAAATGTATTTAAAAATAATAAACACACTATCATGAGAATTTTTTTTTTCAATAATTTACACTCTTGAGTAGAGTATGGAGATATTTAAAATTAATTTTTTTAATAGATAAAATGAATTACTGTATACTTTTATTTTTAAATTTCCTAAAAAATTATTTCTAATATTAATTAATACAATTTTTTTTTCTTTATTTGATTTATACAATCTATACCATATTAGTATGATAAGTATAAAAGATGGTAATGTTTTTTTGACATGATTATTTTGAGAAGTCTACCCACCGACAACACTCTTTTTGAAGTGATATTTTTTAGTAGTTAGATTATTATTATTTTTTTTTTATTATTATTGTGGGATAAGAAGATCTCTGCACCACTTCCTCTTTAGTCTTATGGAAAGATTGCCAGGCATTGTGGGTAAAGTAAGATCGTTTACTAAAGAATTAGGATGGTTAAGAAAGGAATGGTAGTATCGAGTGTAGTGTTCCTTGGTAACTAGCAATACTGTCTTTAGTTGTAAGTCTGAATGTAAGGAGTAGTTTGTAATGTAAGGTAGTAGATTTGTGACAAGCCGAGTATCTTATTTTGTATACTTTGAATTTAATTTAAGTTCGTTTTTTTTTTTGATCCCCAAAATGTGAGCAGTTATGTTTTTGGTCAAGATGTATACCAAGGTATGTTGTAGGTTGGTATTTGAATATTATTTAAGTAAACTTGTGGACAGAGCCCTTTTCTATGTGTAAAAGTAGTATGACAAGATTTATTTTCATTTATTTTAAATCTCAGTCATGATACCAGGATTGAAGGTAATTAAGATGGGATTGTTAATTATCTAAAGCTATTTGAGAATTTTCATTAACAGAAATGATAGCTTTGTCAGCGGCATAATCTACTACAATTTTTTTAGGATAAGTTGGTTGGTCAGCTGTAAATATGTTAAATAGTAGTAGAGCAGATATTGCACCTTATGGTACTCCTGCCTTTATATCAGATTTCATTAATAATATAAACTATTAACTGTGTAACAAATAATAAGTAAAACAATTAACTATTATCATATTATAAAAAAAATTATAATACCAATTGAAATTAAAAATATACATTTATTCTAAACTTGATTTTTTTCTTTTAACAACAGTGAATTAATAAAATATATTTGTAGAAGAGCAATTTAAAATGTTATTATTGTTAAACGTTATCTTTGTTGTCCAAATAATTTCTTTGTAAATGTTTTGGCAATTATCCATTTCCCTACAATATATTTTCTGTTTCCCCATACATATTTGGATATATAATTATGCCAAAAACTGTAAAAATAATATATAACATTAAAAATCAAGATAAAGATATTTTATAAAGATTAAATGAAATATTGATACATACATTTTTTAGAAACATGCAATAAAAAAAATTTCAGATAAAAATTAAGCACATAATATACTCACATTCCATACGCTGCTCCACCAAGATGAGCAGCATGATCAAACATTTGCCATCTTAGTATTAATCCCATAGTATCCAAACACATAAGTCCACCTAATCCCTGTTATGTTAAAACAGTAATTATTATTTAGAAAATAAAATAAAATTTTAGAATATTTAATATCCTAATATTATTAGTTAATAGATCAATGAAATACTGGTTAAAAAAATGTAATTTGTTTAACTTACAACAATAGCATCAAAATGAATACCAGGCAAAAAAATTATACTTAGTTGCTCATTAGGATGTGTCACAGCAAAATAACTAACAACTGTAAGGATCGCTCCAGACTAAAAAAATTATTTTAGTAAAATTTAAATAGTATAATATATTAATATTTTGATTTTTTAATTATTTCTTTTGACATACAGCTCCTAAACTATTGCCAACCAAACCAAAACTTCTTCTAAAAAGAATACTAGTTAGAGATGAAACAACACAAGCACTTAAATACATAGCACTAAATTCTTCAGGAGACATTGAGCCCCAAGGGTGTATAACACCTATAAAAAACAAAAATTTTGTAGAATAGAAATCATAATTTGACTAACAAATTTTAATTTTTACCGGCACAGAATGAATTCAAGGCAACCATGTTGAATAACAAATGCAATGGTGAGCTATGACTGAAAGCACTGAGAAGTAATGATGAAACTGGAATTTTTTCTGAATATTAAAAAAATATTTTATTATTACTTAATTTACATGTTGATAACTAAAAATTAGTGACATAATTACTAGCAAGAGCATCAGTCATAAAATATTTTATCATTACAGATTCATATCGTGGTATTTTCCATGCAAAAAATACAAGAGCATTAATTGATACAATAACAGCAAACACTTTTCTTGAAGCTGGTAAATCATACCACAACTTTTTAATTTGTGAAAATATGTTCTATCAAAAAAAAAAAAAAATTGTTATTCAATTAATAAACAAATTTATAATAGCTAATTTATACGTACATATTTAACATGTATTTTCAACCAATTTAACATGTATAGACATGATATTTATACAGTATTGTAGGTGCAAATTAATGATTTTTTAAGCAGAGAAAGGGCAAATTACAACAAAAACTGTCAATTTAATTTTTATAAAATTATTTTGGTACAAAAATATATTGGAGAAGCTATCTATACTCAAAAATTTAATTTTCTTAACATAATAAACTTATTCATTGTACAACTTTCAATTTTTTTTTTAGCTTCAATGCAAAGCTGAGAAGGTATTAATGTTACTGTTTTTTTTTTTTTTTTAATTATTTTAGTTAATTTTTTTTTGTCTGTTATCATTTTTTCTCAGCTATCACCGAACCGATTTCTTTCAACGATACGTCAAAAGATCACAAATTGTATCTAGTCGAAGATATTACCCTTAAAAATTGAAAAAATTTCCCTCAATCCCTGTAAATAAGGGAAAAATCCAAAAAAATTACAAATTTAAAAATCGCTAATGTTTTCAATTTTTTTTACTTAAAACTGCCATAACTTTTTCAAAAATTATTAATAAAATATAAATTTTTTTATAGATGCATGATGTCTTTGCAATCATTTGACATACTTATTTTTATAAATACGACCATTTACATGCCCACAGGGGAGGATTCAAAATGATAACTTTTTAAAAAAAAACTAAATTTTGAAAATGTTCTGGAATAACTGACACTTTTATATGTACCTTAAATTAAAGGTTATGTAATATACTTTATTATGAAAATAAAAAATTTTGGACTTTATTTTATCTTCTTGGTGAAATGGCTATCGTATGCTATTTTTGTGTTAAAATTCTCGCTTTTAATTTTACATTTTTTACTTAATAATGCTAAAACTTTTTGAAAAATGTATGGATCAATACAAATCTTTTATGAGAAATAATATTTATATACCTCTTTCATTCGACATACTTTTTTTTTTAAATTGGACCCTTTACCTTAATACAGGGGAGGATCAAAACTTAATAATGCATATTGAAAGTAGAACTTTTTCAACACAATTTTTGAAAATGTTCTGGAAATACTGACATTTTTATATATATCTTAAATTAAAGCATATGTAATATACTTTAATATTTAAGGTTTTCGGGTAAGAGTAAGAGTGCACCAAGGTTCTGCTTTAAGCCCTTACTTATTTTCTATAGTGATGGATAAAATTACTAGAGAAATACAAGGAGAGGTGCCGTGGTGCATGTTGTTTGTTAACGATATAGTGTTAATAGGAGAAAATAGGGAGGAAATTAATCAAAGCTAGAGGTGTGGAGATCAGCTCTTGAAGAAAAGGGTTCAAGAATAAGTAAAAGTAAGACAGAGTATATAGAGTACGAGTTTGACAAAGGAGAATACGAGGTAGGTGAAATGAGGAGGTCAGTGACAATATGCGAGGATGTGATTGAAGAGTTGTAAGTATTTAGGGTCAGTTGTGTAAAAGAGTGGTGGTATTAACGAGGATGTAAGATACAGAATTAAGTGCAGGTGATTGAAGTGGAGAGAAGCATCTGGTGTCTTATGCGATAAAAGAATTCCAATGAGGCAGAAAGGTAAATTCTACAAGACTGTAGTGAGGTCAGCCATAATGTATGGTTCAAAATGTTGTGCGGTTGATAAGAAAGTAGAACAGAGAATGAGTGTAGCAGAGATGAGAATGCTTAAATGAATGTGTGGAGTGACTAGAAAAGATAGAATAAGGAACGAGCATATAAGAGGGAGTATAGGTGTAGCGTCAATTATGGATAAGATGAAAGAAAATAGACTTAGATGGTTTGGTCTTGTTATGAGGAGAGAAGAATCGGAAGCTGTAAGAACAGTCATAGAAATGAATGTTGAAGGAAGAAGAGGTAGAGGAAGACCAAAAAAGAGATGGAGGGATGCTATAGAATGTGATTTGAGGACAGCTAATGTGAGAGATCGTGTCAAGTGGAAGTTTGGATAAGGGTTTGGTTTCCAAGTTTGGTTAATCCCAAGTAGTTGGGATTAAGGCGAGGAAGAAGGACCCTTTACCTTAATACAGGGGGAATTAAAACTTAAAAATGCATATTGAAAGTAGAACTTTTTCAACACAATTTTTGAAAATGTTCTGGAAATACTGACATTTTTATATATATCTTAAATTAAAGCATATGTAACATACTTTAATATATATATATAAAAAAAAAAGGACTTTATTTTGTTTTCATGGTGAAAATGGACATCAAAGTTAATAAAAAGAATATGATTTTTGTAAAAAAATTCTTTTTTATATTTTTAACTTTATAATGTTATAACTTTTTGAAAAATGTATTAATCATTATAATTTTTTTAAGATAAGTACTATATTCTTATATTCTTCTTTTATGCGATATAATTTTTTTTTAAATAAAACCATTTCCTTTTATATATATATTACACTTATAAATCATAAAACTTGTAATCAGGTTATTTATTAGGAAATAGGAGATCATGTAGCTTTTGGAATATTCCATTAATTTTTTAAAATTAAACATCTTGACCCAACTATTCACGTCCCCACTGTGCTAGGTTTTTTTTCATAAAATATATCCTGAGAGCTTGTATTTTCAAATAAATAGTGTATTTAAGTTAGATGATAGAATTGCAATTAATATTTGAAGTAAAAATAAGCTTACACAACTTGCTTGTTATTTCTAAAAGTTCTAAAATATAATTATAATGCATAAGAACTTTGCAAGATTTAAATAATAAGATTATCATATGGGTTTTAAAATTTTTAGTAAATCTAATGTGCAATACAAAATTGTAAAAGTGTAAATCATGATAATTGAAAATGTAAATATCACTATTAATAATATTGAATTATAATAAACTCATAACTTAATTATTAACTATAAATAATGACATGTCTTTTAATTTGAGTGATATTAGGTAACTTTCTAATCTTGTATTATTAAAATAAGTTAAATTGACAATTATTTAATTAATCAAACGGTAACATTATACCTGATTGTTTCTTTCAGCATTTTGTACAAAAAATTCATCAAAAATTGAATTTGACAATTTTTTTGCAGTACTTGAAAATCTTTCATATTCACAAATAGATGCTACAACAATTGCACCAGTACTAACCTAAAAGTAAGAGTTAAAATTTAAAATAATAAGAATATTATAGTTGTAAAATGTACAATTAACAGAAAAAATTTTTATTGATAAAATTTTAATCAAATATTTAAAATGATTAATATAAATATAGTTACAGCTAAACTTACTGATAATGTAAATACTGTTGGATAAAACAATGATTCACTTGAATTATAGGCTCTCCTACGATAATAATGTGGATTTATAAGTGAAGAGCGCGAGTTGGATAGTTTGTGCAATCTACTTAAAGATCTATGACTAAAATTATTAATTAAAAAATAAAAATTATTTCTATTCTTTATGTTAAATTTACATTTATAAAAGTAAATATATTATATTTACCTGCAAAATCTACTCATAAAACAACTCATCTTTTAATTATAAGAAGTGAAAAAATAGTTATATATTTAATGAATATTTCATCACATTTTTGTTTTTATACTTAATATTGACTCCGATAGTTAAATTAAAAATACTTAATTGTGAAATTGAAATACATGACAGAGTTGAATTAATTTTGGGTGTTAAGATTTAATATTCACTAGACATAGAGAACAGAGTATTTTGGATTTAAATATTTTTTTATTTATTACAGCATGATAATAAAAATGAATTTTGTATGATTTTTGTTAGTACTTATCACACTTTTAAGTCTATTCCACAGCATATAAACCGTGGTAAGTACGCAGATGCTATTAGATATCAATAACAACTTTACCGGCATCGTATAGAGTACTACGGAAAATATCACAGATAAGATAAAATAAAACCGATTTTATCTATGATTTTACTATCGAACCATATTTTAAATGAACAGTAATTTAACCGATAGGTATTACAAAAGAAATATACTCTTAGAAAATATTTAAGCCAAGATTTGTATTTACTTTATAATTGGAATCAGTAAATTTTTAGTCTCGTTAATATTAAACTAATTAATTATATTAAAAAAAAAAAATCATTTTTTCAACAGGGTTTTTGAATTTTATAATCCCCTTAAAAGAACTGAACACTTAACACACAAACGTATTGAAAAACATCACACTAAAATTACAATTATTGATGAAGTACAAAAATAAAAAGTTGTAATTTTGCTTAAAAACCGAATGATATATGTTGAACTATTACCTCATTTAACTGTTACCAAATTTCAATACATAAAAGAAATTGTTATTTTAAGGTGAAGCTGATTTGTAGAGGAACCACTTAAAAATTGTTTTTTACTCATTGAAGGTTTCTTAAATAAATTCAGAATAAACAATTTTTGATGATAAAAAAATAGGTGACCTCCCACAATTACTTTCTGGTTGCACCATTGAATGGATTACTGGTATGTTGTTCCATGGAATTTTCGCCATGCCGCCCACTACCACTATTAAAATGACTTACATTACGTAACTGCATGAACTACGAGTTAATAACAATATATTTATAAACACGTTGTCGTTCAAAAATTAATTCCTGATAGGAAAATAAAGTTTTTAAGTAACAACAAAATAATTTATTGTTTTGATGTAAAAAATTTGATTATACGGCAATTTGAACGTGTTTTTAACTTGATCCATATTTGTATAAAAATTTAAGAGCATATTTTAGAATTTAAGTGCATAAGTGCTTACATATTTAGATCTTTTAGCGCTTTAAGTCCTCTGCCCTAATCATTAACTATATCGTGATATCAGTAAACATGAATTATTAATCAATTTTTCATATGAAATAAGATTATATATAAAAATGTTTAAATTCAGAAAATATAAAAAAAATATATGAAAGTGTTATTAAGGAATTAGTATTTTAAAATTATTGTGGTTGTTTTAGGGAAGCAGTTTCTTTTAATTATCTTTTTTAATGCGATTCGGTGACTATTATATCCCATTTTTACTTTGTGAACTTTTACACTGTACATTATTATTATTACATAATTAACTCATTTTCGTCAAAAATGCACTTTACTCTTTTCTGTACTTAGCCATCTAAATAAAATAATTTTCTAATCAATTTTTTCCACATTCACTGAAAAACAAAAACAGCAATGACAAAAACAAAACATAATAACGGTAAAAATAAAAAAACAACAGAAATTACAAAAACATATAGGAAACGAGCTAAGCTGGCATTATAGTTCCAATCTTAGATTTGTAACTATCGTTCCGGAGAAGAACTCTACGACGAGTAAAATATACATGTTTGTATAGTTTTAGTGTTTGCTAGTATATATTCGAGAGGTCATTTTTTAAAAATTATTACAGCATTTGGGTATTTTGAGCAGTCAGTGATAAGTTTCCTCGTATAAAATTTTAATAAAATATATTATTCCATTTTCAAATAGCTGTAATGTGTAATTATTATGAATATAATAGATCCATACTGATTTAATTTCTGATTTATTTTAACTGTTCTACGAATTTTTTTTTTTTTTATTAAGTCCACACGCATCTTTTGAATAAGGGTATCGTCTCATTTTTGTGCATATACATATATTGACTCTAAATTTGTAGAAAATGAATATTTAAGTCATTTGTTCTGTTTAATT